GGTTTTGGGGCCTCTACCCGCGGCTGACTACATGGGAGTCCAGCGATGTAACCATTACTCCATCTGCTGGTCCCATCTTTTTGTTTTTAATTAAAGAATTATTTTATTTAACTTTATTTATTCATTTATTTTTAAATTTGACCAGAGAAGGACAGAGTGAGAGAGGGAGGGAAAGTGAAAAAGCAAGCCACCAGGTTTGGGACTTGAACCATGGTCGGCCATGTGGGAGACTAGAGTTCTTAAATACCATGCCACCTGCTGGTCCCCATAACTTTCATTTTTAAATAATTATTTATTTTATTGTTATTATTATTTTTAAAAAAGTTATAGGGCATGTGCACTTGCCAGAGAGAGAGAGAGAGAAAGAGAGAGAGTGAGAAAGTAAGCCAGTAAGTCTGGGAGTTGAAACACAGTTGGCCATGTGGGAGTCCAGCGCCTTAATTGCCATGCCACCTGCTGGCCCTCCTCCACAACTCTTTTTTTTTTGGGAGAGATTTTTGCTATAGGGCACATGTGCTCGCCAGACAGACAGAGAGGGACATAGAGACAGAAAGTGAGAAATCACCCCCCAGAGGGGATGGTCACGCCAACAATCCCTTCTCCATTCTCTTCTCGGGATCTTGGGCATGCACGCATACGCGCCTGGCATAAGTTTTAAGCCACCGGGTCCGGGACGTGAGCCGTGGTCGACTATGTGGGAGTCCAGCAACATAGCCATTACGCTAACTGCTGGTTCCCAATCCTCCACAGCTCTTGCCAGCAAAGTGTTAGCATCACCTCTACACAGGTGTTCCAGCTAGACTTTTGGCTCCTCCCTCTCTCCAGTCTCCCACATTAAGAAACATTTTGTTTCAGGGGACCAGCAGGTGGTGTGGTAGTTAAGGTGCTGGACATTCCCACATGGCCGACCAGGGTTCAAGTCCTGAATCTGGTGGCTTACTTTCTCACTTCCTCTCTTTCTCACTGTTACCCTCTGTCTCTCTCTGGTCAAATTAAAAAATAATAATAATAATAAAAAGAAATAAATGAATAAATAAAATAAATAATTATAAAAAAAGAAACATTTTGTTTCTTAAGTATTTCTAAAATTACTTCTCTCCATTTGCACTACTGATACCATAACAATGATCTTAGCTAAGATTAGTGGTTGCGTTCCATGTGCGTAAATAAGTGGATGTGTTTTGTTTAGTTGTACTACTATTTATTTATTTATTTTTTTTTTGAGAGAGATTTTTGCTATAGGGCATGTGCATTTACCAGAGAGATAAACAGAAAATGAGAAGTCATCCCCTGAGGGGATGGCCGCGCGACAATCCCTTCTCCTCCCTTCTCCTCTCGGGATTTTGGACATGCACAAACACACGCCTGGTGTGAGTTCTAAGCCACCAGGTCTGGGACTTGAACTGTGGTCAACTACGTGGAAGTCCAGTGACAGTGATGTAACTATTATGCCATCTGTTGGTCCCAGTATCACTTTATTTTTAAAGTGGCTGTTGATCACATAAAAATGAGATATACTGGGACCAGCAGTTGGTGTAATAGTTATGTCATCCTTGTCTTCCTGGCAAGAGCACGTGCCCTATAGCAAAAATCTCTCCAAAAAAAAAATAAAAAGAACGTTTTAGAAGAGGTTGAGGACTAGAAAGCTCTAAGAGTTTAGAGCCACCATATCTCTGACTTATCACCCCACTTCCAGGCATGGAGGATGTAGATACTTGAAAATATTTACCTTTATATTCAGTGATCCCTATGCCTGGAATGTGTTTCCTGCCTTCTTTGATTAGTAATAAAATTCGCCTCAGCCTTCAAGGTCCAGCTGAAAACCATTTGCGAAACCTCCTCCCATTCTTCAGGAATTAATCACTCCCTTGTCTGATGCCCTACAGCACATATTAGTGATTAGTCCCCATGGCACTAATCACATGCTGACTTGGATCCAGCAGCTGTTAACATGCCAGTCTGCCCACCAACACTGCGAGGTAGCCGAGGCAGAGCCTCTGCCTTAGTCACCTCTGTAGCCATCTCCTGGTGCCCAGCCCAGTGCCTGGCCCACAAAACTGGGCTTGACTAGTGGGTGGTGCCTGGCACTACTCATGGCAGAACAGACGAAAAACAAAAATAATAACAAGTTATGGTTTATCACGTGTGTTCCTCATTCATTACCTGATTTGAGCCTCTCAACAACCCTATATGACAGGCAGACACTATCAGACCCATTGCACAGACAGGGTAGCTGAGGCCCAAGAGCACGTGGGTAGTCAATAGTGAAGGCTAAGTCCCAGTCTTGTCCCTTTACTTCAGATTCAGCCCTGGGAATCTGAAGAGCGCTTGAGGGGTGTAAGGCAACAGGCTGACCGTAGTGGAAAAGCAATTCTGTGGCTGAGTAGGAAGAGAGCCTTAGTGAGCTGCCGCGGACCTAACAGCACCTCCTCCAGGGAGGCCACAGGACTCTTGGAAGCTGGGGAACCCCTGCCCGCGAAATGAGGGACCAGTGTTCGGGTCTGATGGTTACGATGACGTAAACGATGACTTGTTAACAGGGGCCGGCCTTTCTGTTGCTATGACAACCGCAGCTTGCCTATTGAGCCTTTGCAAGGTTGGCTCAGGCAGGTTCTTCGTTAACTCCAAATTAGGGAAGGACATTTAAGGGAGAGTGTGTGTGTGTGCGCCGTTGTCAAAACATAAAAGAAATACATTATAAAAAAGACTAGCTTAGTGTTTCTCCACCTCGACACGTTAGAATCACTTGCACAGCTGCATCCCATACCAACTAAACTAGAAACTCTGGGGGCGAAAACTATGCATCACTAGTTATTTAAAGCTTCCTAGGTGATTCCAATTCCAGCCAAAGGCTCAAATCCTGCCCGGAGCAGACGAGCGGAATTCTTACGACCTTCTCAAGATGGCGGCCGACCCAACCACTTCCGCCCTTACGTGCGCCGGCAGGGGGCGGGCTTCCTAGGGGCGCATGCGTCTAGCGTCTCTTTCCTCCCGCTCCCTCCTCCTTTTTCCCCCGCCTCCATTTTGTTCGCGGACGCTGGGGACAGTGGGAGCAGATCCATTTCCGGGTTGGCAAAAGGGGCGGCGGCGGCGACGAGAAAGAGAGCTTGCAGGGGGGCGCGCGGGACAGGACGAAACCGAAGCGCAGGTGGCGGAGGATTCGCTCCCGGAGCAGCTGCGGCCAGGTCGGAATGAGGCTGGGGCAGCTGGGTCCGTCAAGGGCTTTGGGGGAGGAGCCTGAGGGGGACAGGGGTCTGGGGGCGGGGCCTGAGGGACGGAGGACCCGGCTGTGTCTTAAGCGCCTTCAGAGAAGGGGCGTGGGGACCCAAGTAAGGAGGAGTGGTACGGGGCGAGCTGGGACTGTGCAGACCGGCATCAAGATGTTTGAGAGACAGGAAATGAGAGATCCTGAAGGGCTGGGTCAGGTGAGAGGGCTGCGTCGGGTGAGCTAGGAGGTAACCGTACGCAGAAAGATGGGAAGGGAGGACCTGTTGGGAGCAGTAATTAGCAGGATGCTCTGGGGGAGGCCGGTGCGAAATCCGGGGGTAGGGCTGGGGTGAAAACCAGTGGCTGGGAGGATGACTTGGGAAACTGCTACCCAAGAGGAGTCTGGAGAGAGAACCGGGTTGAATTAAAGGTTGGGTTGAGGGATGTGGACATCTGCACGCCAGCATCTGGAGTTGAGGGTTCAAGGTGAAGTGGTGTGAAGTGAGGGGCGGTGGGATCTTGGTGTTCACCGTGGGCACTGTGTGGAGTTGTTCTGGGAGGGAAATTCTTCAGCGGTGACACAGGCGAGCAGCAGGAGGAAGCTGGAGTGTACTGGAATTAGTGTTTCTAAAGGGACTTGAGTAATCTATTAGCCTTTGGGCTCTCCAGGGACCCGCTTCCTTTTTTTTTTCCCTGTACAGTGTGTGTGCTGTGGAGAGAGAGACAGAGGGGAAAGTGAGGAAGCATCCCCTTGGGGGAAATGGCCATGCCGCAATCCCTTCTCCATTCTCTGATCCACGGGGGTTGGGACTCCAGGGATCCACCTGCCATAATTGCCACACCCCTGGCTGACCCCAGCCCATCTCCTTTACTTTCAGGCTTTTACTACTTCTTCTTCTTTTTTTTTTTTTTTAAGAATTATTATTATTATTTTTTTTGGAGAGATTTTTGCTATAGGGCGCCTGCGCTCGCTCGCCAGACAGACAGAGACATAGAGACAGAAAACGAGAAATCACCCCCCAGGGGGGATGGTCACGCCGCAATCCCTTCTCCTCCATTCTCCTCTCTGGCTCTTGCCTCCATTCTCCTCTCTGGATCTTGGGCACGCACGCACACGTGCCCGGCATGAGTTTTAAGCCACCAGGTCCAGGACGCGAACCGCGGTCGACTACATGGGAGTCCAGCGATATAGCCATTACGCTAACTGCTGGTTCCCTTAAGAATTATTTTAATTAACTTTATTTATGTATTTAAATTTGATCAGCAAGAGACAGAGTGAGCGAAAGACAGAGAAAGTGAGAAAGCAAGCTGCCAGGTCCAGGACTCGAACTGTGGTCAGTCATGCGGGAGTCCTGCACCCTTAGCCACCTGCCCACCTCCATGTTGCCCCATGCTGTTATTTTTGCCTTACAGTTTTCTGATTGACTTGTGAACGTTTTTTGCTACCTCTTTCCCATTTTGAAAACTAGAAGAGAGGGGCTAGCAGATGGTGTAATCGTTACTTCGCTGGACTCTTACGTGGTTGACCATAGTTCAAGTCCCGCACCCGGTGGCTTAAAACACATGTATGTGCATTCTCAAAAATCCCAAGAGGAGGATGGAGAAGGGATTATGGTGTGGCCATGCCCCCTAGTGGGTGATACCTATAGTAAAAAAATCTCTCAAACAAACAAACCCAGAAGAGAATTTCAGGGAATAAAAATTGTAGGTCACCTGTGGATTTACTAACTAGCTTTGAGGCAAATAATTTAAACTATTTTTTATTTTTTAAGTTTATTTCTTCCATGAGAGAGAAAGACAGCACCCCCAACAGGGTTTCTATTTTTATTTTTTTTTAAGTCATAGGGCACCTGTGTTGCAGGAAAGGAGAGATACAGAGAGGGAAATTGAGAAATCATCACCACAGAGGGGATGACCCCTTTTCTGGATTTTGAGCACACATGAACATATGCTTGGCCTGATTTCCTAACAGGATCTTGATGCCTTGATCCACCCCAGCCAGTCCTGGATGATGGGCACCTACCTGTGTTCCTGGCAGCCTTAGGGAGGACCCAAACCTGGAACCTTCCCTTCTAGGTCAGTCTCAGACAGTGTGGTATTTTACTCTCCTGTCACTATCTGGCCCCTAAAGTCTCGTTTTTTTCCTTTTGAAATAAGTACAGGTCTGGCCCCGCCCTGCCTCTGAAAGAGCGGTAACCAAGTAGAATCTTTTAAGTGGTCTCAAAGAAGTAATCTCCAAAAATAAGATCGACATTTGTTCATCTATTTTTAAAATAATTATTTATTTTTAATTTTATTTATTTATTTTTAATTTGACCAGAGAGAGAGACAGAGAGAGGGAGAAAGTGAGAAAGCAAGCCACCAGGCCCAGGACCTGAACCATGGTCGGCCATGTGGGAGTGTCCTGTGCTTTAAACCACCACATCACCTGCTGGTCCCCGAGATATTGATATTAAAGACCATGTCTTTTCCAGTTTATTCATTGCAGCCTTGTTGCATTTGTGTGTGTGTGTGTGCATGCGCACGCACGCACGCACACACGCATGGGCACACATGCCAAGAAAGAGTTGGTTTTGATTTGATGCATGTTCCGTTTTTTGACTCTTCTTGCAGTCAACATTAGTGGTCAGATATTTCATATGCAGGACCAGCAGTTAGCGTAATGACTATGTTGCTGGACTCGCATGTAGTCGACCGTGGTTCACGTCCCGGACCCGGTGGGTTAAAACTCACGCTGGGTGTGTGTGCGTGTGTGCCCAAGATGCCGAGAGGAGAATGGAGGAGAAGGGATTGCAGCATGGCCATCCCCCCTGGGAGGTGATTTCTCGCTTTCTGTCTCTCTGTCTCTCTCTGTCTGGCGAGCGCACGCGCCCTATGGCAAAAACCTCTCCCCCCCAAAAAAAAAAATTCATATGCTATATTGTATTGGCTACCATCAAAATGAAGATAGGGCAGTTAGAGTTGGGAATGAATGAAGTCAATTGATGGAGACTGGGAAATTCAGTGTTTTATTTATTTTTTAAAAGAATTATTTAACTTTATTTTTAATTTGATGAGAGAGGGACAGAGTAAGAGAGAAAAAGAGAAAGTGAGAAAGCAAACTGCCAGATCCAGGACTCAACCGTGGTCATCTATGTGGGAGTCTAGTGCCCTTAACCACCATGCTACCTGCCAGCTCCAAATTCAGTGTGTTTTTTTTTTTAAGAATTATTTTTTTAGCTTTATTTATTATTATTATTTTCCATTTGATCAGAGAGAGACAGAGAAAGTGAGGGAAAGTGAAAAAGCAAGCTACCAGGTCCGGGACTTGAACCATTGTTCATTGAACATTGTCATGTGGGAGTCCAGCACCTTTAACCACCACACCACCTGCTGGCCCCTCAGTGTTTTATTTTCTAGCCACCTGAGTATTTTAGTTTTTCCAGATTCTTTTTTATTTTTGGGGGGGAGGTTTTTGCTATAGGGCACGCGCGCTTGCCAGAAAGACGGGGAGAGAGAGAGAGAGATCACCCCCCCAAGGGGGATGGCCACGCCGCAATCCCTTCTCTTCCATTCTTCTCTCGGGATCTTGGGCACGCACGCACACGCGCCTGGTGTGAGTTTAAGCCACCGGGTCTGGGACTCGAACCACTGTCGACTACATGGGAGTCCAGTGACAGCCATTACGCTAACTGCTGGTCCCCAGATTCTTTCTTTATCAACTTTTTGTGAATCCTCTGGAAAATGAATGCTCTAGTCACTGTGGCCTCTTTGTTGGTTGGTGGGGACTAGTGTTCGTGGACAGTTTTAGCTGGTACTTCTCTCCCTCTACTTAAACAAAAAAAATTTTTTAAAGTTTATTGTTTTCCCCATGAGTGGGAGAGACAGAGAAGCACACACCACTCACAGCACTGTCTGGATGTCACATTCTACCCCCGGTGTCAGCCAGCTCCTGTTCATGGGTGAACACAAGTGCACTGTACTCCGGGAGGTCTCTGGACGGGAATCCAGAACACTCCCCATGTGGGTCAACCTCACAGACTGTTGAATTTTGCTGTTGCTCTCCTGTCTGGCCTGGTTTTAGCTTCTTGTTAATCCTTTGAAATCCTGACTGTTTTAGCTTTTTCTTTGGACATAATACTCTCAACCCTTCACCCATAGGTGAATTTGTTTAGCTTAGAAGTGTTCCTGAAAGTCCTGACATTTCTGAGGGCTGACGTAGGTTTGGTAAAAAGGGGGCAGTTTCTAATTCTTCCCCGCACTTGATATCAAAGTAGTGTTTACCCTCGTTAGTACTGATTAGTTATGTGACGTCAGCGCAAAGGTGAGGTACAGGAGAGGGTGAAAGTGTGGAGAGCAGTGGAGTTTTTATGTCTTACCGATGACTTATAAGAAGGGAAGAGGAGTCCTATTTTGTTGTAGAGATAATTATCGCATGTTCTTTCTTAACTTTTTTGAAGTGTCTGATTGGGAGAGCAACCTGATGCACTTGTGCATGTTTTCTTCTTGCTGTATAATTCTGAAAATCGTGGCCGGTGGTTCAGGTGGTTTCAACAAGCCATTGTCTTCATACTAACTAACCCCAGGAAGAGCTGCAGGCAATGATGTCTATGTTATTTGAGGGCTAAAAACCTGGTTAATATTATGCTGTTATTTCACCCTGTAGTGTACATTTCAGTTTGTTTTTAATTAGCTGTAGGGCTTGTGCACTGGCCAGAAAGAGGAATGTGTAGAGAAAAAGTTGGAAAGCATTCTCTGCATTTTTCAGGCTTTTAGACATGGACACACGTGAACATAGCCTGTTTTTCAAGCTGCTGAGGCTGGGACTTGAACTGCATAGTCAACCATGTGGGATACGGTCTCCTTAATCATCATGCCTCCAGATGACCCTCAGTTTGCTTTTAAGATGGCCTTGAGATAATTTGTGGAGGCTCAGAGCTCCTGGGCAGGCTTTTGATGCAGCCTGCTTCTTTAACACTAAGATTTTCTTTTTTTTTCTTTTTAACACTATGATATTTTCTATTTACCTTATCCTGTCACATTTTTTCGTTGCTGTACTTGAGCCAGACCTAAGTGGAAAATGGTAAATTACACATCTTTTCCCTCGTTTTTAGTCTCTGGTGGACTTCTTGTCTGTGTCACAGTTTGATACCACCAAATTGAAAGGATTCTTGACTGCTTCACATGGGGAGGGTGACAGAAGCTGAGATGAGTTTCCTGGGCTAGAGAATGGACTCTTGTCAAAGCAAAGAATAGTTGCAGAGACACAAACCGGGACCTAGAGGCGGTGACTAACATTTTGGCAACACACACCCCTCTGCCAAATAACTTCTTTTCTTCTTGAGTGTGATTGTTGATCTCCTTCTCAAAGTAGGCTCTTGTTGCTACTGTTCCTCACACAGCTCCCAAACAGAAGTTGGCAGAGTTCCGGTTGACGGACTGTCTCTTGAGGGATATGCCCTGGATTAGAGTGGATGGGGCATTCCATGTCAAATTGAGGTTCATTGGCAGATCTGAGAGCTGCTGCTCTGCAAGGAAATAGAGACAGTACTCTTTACCGAACGTTCTTGCAGCCGTTTATCTTTCTTCTAAATTCAGATCTGTTTCTTATTCATCAAGTGATTAAATGCAGGATCTTTGCTTTTGCCTAGTTTGAAAGTCCAGGGCATGGAGGAAAATATTTCCAAATCTTTTTTTTCTTTGCTTCACTAACTCCCAAGCTTTCGAGCCTGAGGGATGATGGGCTAAACTTTTGAGCATTACTTGTATTATGTATGGAGGGGGTATTAAGAAATGCTGAATAGGGAGCCATGCCAGCAGATGTTGTAGTGGTTAAGGCACTGGACTCCCACGAGGTCAACCATGGTTCAAGTCCCTGACCCAGCGGGTTGAAACTCACACTGGGTATGTGTGCATGTATGTCCAAAATCCCGAGATGAGAATGGAGAAGGGATTGTAGCATGACCATGCTCCCCCTAGAGGGTAATTTTTTCACTTTCTGTCTCTCTGGCACCAGGATGTGCCCTATAGCAAAAATCTCTCTCAAAAAAAAAAAAAAAAGAGGAACCAGCAGATGGTATAATGGCTACATCGCTGGATTCCCATGTAACCGACAGTGATTGGAAACTCATGCCAGGCATGTGCATGTGCATGCCTAAGATCCTGAAGAGAAAGATGGAGGAGAAAGGACTGCAGCATGACCCACCATCCCTCAGGGGGTGATTTCTTGTTCTCTGTTGCTCTCTCTCTCTCCTGCAAGTGCATGCACTCTATAGCAAAAAAAAAAAAAAAAGAGAAAAAGTAAAAAAAAAGCTGAGTGGAACTTTATGTGGAAAAACTATATGTGTGTGTGTGTGTGTGTGTGTGTGTGTGTGTGTATACACACACACTTTTTTTTCTGAAAGAGATTTTTGCTGTAGGGTGTGTTTGTTTGATTGAGAGACAGAAGGCAAGAAATCACCTCCCAGGGGAATAGCCATGCCGTAATCCTTTCTCCTTCATTCTCCCTTCGGGATTTTGGACACACATGTACACATGCCCAGCATGAGTTTCAAGCCACTGGGTCCTGGACTCAAACCACGTTGGCCATGTGGGAATCCAGTGAAGTAATCATTACAGCATCTGCTGGTCCCTGGGGCAAAACTATATTAGTGGGGAAAACAGGTGATAAATTTGCTAATATCTTTTTTTTTTTTTCTTTTTTTTTTTTTTTTTTTTTTTTTTGTTT